TGTCGCGGCCAAAGGGAGGTCTCTTGTCGAAGGGAAAAATGGCCCGTTTGTCTTGGGGAGATTTTTTTCTTCTTCTTCTTCTTCTTTCTTTCCTTTTTTTTTTTCTTTTAGGAGGCTGGATGCACTTCCTTTTGAGCACTTCGGGCCTTTTGCGTTTGCGCGTCTGAAGAATTGGGGTGAATCTTTCAACTTCGGTCCCTCTTTCTTTCTCTCTCTCTACCTCTTCGCCCTCCTTCCTTCCTGCCTTCCTTCCTTCTCCCTTCCTCCCTGCCTCCCTCGTCCCCCCCCCCCCCCCAGTGTATATTACTTCGGTTGTTCGTGCGTTACGCTGTCAGGAATGATGGAAATAGATAGATAGTAAATAGATAGATAGATAGATGATAGGAGAGATGAGATGAATAGATAGATAGATAAATGATAGATAAGATAAATAGATAGTTAGATTCATTCATATTTATGAGTGTTAGTTCATATCAAATTTTCAAGTGACCGAAATTGATTGTTTATATCGATCATTTATTGGGGTCGCTGAGGAGAGGTCAGGGTGCCGTGATAGTGGCATCGTTGCGTTGGGCGGTGTCTTCGGGGGGGGGGAGGAGGGGGGATGGCCATTTTCTCTGTCTCTTTATGTTTCTTTCGGCTCTGTTCTTTTCTCTTTCTCTCTTTCTGTTTTCTGTTTCTTTTTTTGTTTTTTGTTTTTGTTTTGTTTTTCTCTTCTCTTCTCTTTCTCTTTCTCTTTCTTTCCTCTCTCTCCTCTCTCTCTCTCTTTCTGCTTCCTCTCTTCTTCTTCTCTTTCTTCTCTCTTCTTCTCTTCTCTCTCTCTCTTCTCTTCTCTTCTCTTCTCTCTCTTTCTTCTCTTCTCTTTCTCTTTCTCTCTCTCTCACTCTCTCTTCTCTTCTCTTCTCTTCTCTTCTCTTCTCTCTCTCTCTCTCTCTTCTCTTCTCTTCTCTTCTCTCTCTCTCTCTCTTCTCTTTCTCTTCTCTTCTCTTTCCTCTTCTCTCTCTTCTCTTCTCTTCTCTCTCTTTCTCTCTTCTCTTCTTCTTCTCTTCTCTCTCTCTTCTTTCTCTTCTCTTCTCTCTCTCCTCTCTCTCCTCTCCTCTCCTCCTCCCTCCCTCCCTCCCGAATGACAGTGGCATTCCTCGGCAGTCCAACAGAGCCATGCCACACCGTGACAAAGGAGTTCGTATGACACCGTCTCTCTCTTTCTTTCTTCTTCTCTTCTTTTTTTCTTTCTTTTTTCTTCTTCTTCTTCCTCTCCTTTCCTCTTTTTCTTCTTCTTTCTTCTTCTTCTTCTTCCTCTCCTTCCTCTTTTTCTTCTTCTACTTCTTCTTCTTCCCCCTCCTCTTCTTCTTCTTCTTCTTCTTCTCCTTCTCTTCTTCTTTTCTTCTTTCGTCGGAGGTTCATCTGGCCGCACGATGGCAGTGGACGCGTCATATTTGGTGTTCAGCGATACTTCGGGAATGAGCTTCGATCGGGAGCACAGGTCGTGTTGCGTTCTTCGGGGGGGGGGGACTTAGGAGTTTTTTCTTTCTTTATTTATTTATTTCCTTCTTTCTTTATTTATTTTCTTTACTTCCTTCTTTCTTTTCTTTTTCCTTCCTTTCTTCTTTCTTTCTTTTTTCCTTCTTTCTTTCCTTTCATTCCTTCTTTCTTTCTTCTTTTCTTTCTTCCTTCTTCCCTTTCCTCCCTCCCTTCTCTCTATCTTCGTGGTCCGACCCAGCCGCGCGGCGTGAGGCCAGCCCCGCCCCGCCCGCCGCCTCCGTGCAGCGAGAGAGAGATGGATGTCGGTGGCGCCGCGGGTCGAGCGCGGCCTTTGACGGGGGTGCAGGTGGGGGGAGGGGGCAGGGAGAGGAGGGGGGAGGGATGGGGGGGGATGGAAGGGATGGGGAGGGAGGAGGGGTTGGGGGAGGGGAGGGTGGGATGGGGGAAGGAGGTGGGAGGAAGGGGATTAGGGGGAAGGAGGGAGAGGGGATGCAAGGTAAGGAGGGAGGCAAGGAAGGAGCGGGGTAAGAGGGAAGGAGGGAGGTATGAGGGAGAGGAGGGATGGAAGGCAAGGAGGGAGGATGGGAGGCAAGGAGGAGGAGGGATGGGAAGGGAAGGAGGGGAAGGGATGGGAGGCAAGGAGGGAGGCGGAGAAGCGAAGGAGGTTATCCCGCAAAAACTCGTGACGCGCCGGGCCGGGATGACTCACCGCGCTCCACGTGTGTGTGTTTTGGTGTTCCGTCGATTGGGGGGGGGGGGGGGGGGATGGGGGGGCGTGGAGGAGGCGGGCCAGTGGGGCGGGGCCTGCCTTCGTTAGACGCGCTTCGGACGGGGCAGCCTCGAGCCCTCCCTCGTGTCCAGGAGGGCTTCGGGGAGGGAGGGGGGAGGGAAGGGAAGGGAAGGAGAGGGCGGAAGGAGGAGGGGAGCGCTTTCCCTCCTCTCTTCAGGAAGCGGGGAAGGGAAAAGGGAGAGCCAGCGGAGAGCCACCTCCTGTTGAGCCAGAGGAGGGAAAGCGGGTCTGGTGTTTACATCAGGAAGAGGCTTTTCATCTGTTGCATCTGATGTCCGCTGTTGACACTGACGACCATTGAGGGGCGCTGTCCACTGACGACCATTCAGAGGCGGCCGGTCCAGGCGGTGGTCGCGTCGAGGGCCGCCCCGGTGGAGCTAGAAAACCGGCGCGGGTTTACGGGCGGGACTTATTTATTGTAGTTTATCCGAATATGATCACAGAGCCGTTTCGAAAGGCGACACCGCCCGGGTCCGGACTCTCCTGCCGCTTCCACCGCCCCGTCGTCGCAGGGGCCCCCTTCTTCTCCTTCTCCTTCTCCGTCTCCCACGTCTCCTTTTCTTAATTCTTCTACTCCATTCTCATTATTATTACTTTTATTATTTTTTCTCTACTTTTCCTTTCTTCTTTTTTCTTCTGTATCTCATCCTTCGTCCTCCTCCTCCTCCTCTTCCTCATCCTGCTCGTAATCCTCCTCCTCTACTCCTCCTTCTTTTACTCGTAGTCCTCCTCCTCCTTCCTCCTCCCTCTGCCTCTATCATCCTCTTTTTTTTCTTTTTCTTTTTTTCTTTCTCTCTTCCCCTCTCTGATTCCTAATTCTGGTCCGCCTTCTCCATTTCCTTCTACATTACCCTCTCCTCCCCTTCGTGTCCCCCCCGAAAGGACCCCGGCCGTGGGAGGAGGGGGGGGGGCGTCGCGGCGCGGGCGGCCCTCCGAGAAGGCGCTTGGGCGGCAGGTGTCGGGCGTAGTCCTAACGAGCGGCGGGAGTTGTGAGTCACCGAGGACCATACTTGGCACGCGCGGCCCTCCTTATTGCTTTCTCACGCCGCCGCCACGTCCCACGCGCCCCTCCGCTGCCCCGAGCCTCCGTCAGCTGGCGGAGGAAGGGGCCGCTGTAGGATACTGTCCTTGGCGTGGGCGGGCGGAGGAGCGGCCGGAGGGAGGGACGGGGCGACGTCGGAAAGGGGCGCTCTTGTCTGGAGTGGAAACGGACGCTTGGAAGGGCGCTGTACGCTGCGTAACTAAGGGATTTCGTTCTTCTAGGGAGAGAGAGAGAAAAAAAGAGACAGAGAGAGAGAAGGAAAGAAAGGAAAAAGAGAGAGGACAAAGACAGACGACAGACGAAGACACAGACACAGAGACAAAGACAGACAGACAGACAGAGAGATATAGAGACAGAGACCGAGAGAGAGAAGTGAAAGGTAATGGCTAATTTGTTGTTGTTTACCGGTTGCTGTTGCGCCATTGCAAATTCGCCACGGGGCCCCTTCGTCGGATGCGCGCAGTTCGAGGCAGGAAAGAGCAAGAGGAGCGCGCGCCGATCCCCTCGCGTAGGGCGGACGAAAAGCGCTCCTCGATCTCCCGCTGCCGGAGAGGGTTTTTAAAAGCGGTTGCGCGATTTTAGAGGAGGGGGGGAGGGGAGGGAAGGGGGAAGGGGGTTCGTGACGCCATATCCGTTCGTCGAGATGGTTTGCTTTACGAACGAGAGGAAGCGGGGAAGGGGGAAGAGGAAGGAAGGGCGGGTGAAGGGAGGAGAAGGGAGGCGAGGCGAGGCGGGAGGGAAGTCGGGCGGGCTATGAGGTTGGGAGGTTGGGGAGGCAGCTTCGAAGAGGTTTTTGCACGGCTGCGAGGGGGGGAGGGGAGGTTGGGGGGAGGCGGAGAAGGCTCGCAAGCTGATGGGGAAGGAGCAGCTGGAGACATGACCCAGAGACGGATAGCAGAAGAGACTGAAATCACCAACAAACAGGATACGCGGAATTTTCAAGAATATAAAACAAGAATGAGTCTAAAGTCAGGCCGAATGTTGTTGTTTTCCTCTCCATGATTGCTCCTCCTCCTCCTCCCTTTCCTCCTCCTCCTCCTCCTCCTCCTCCTCTCCTCCTTCCCCTCCTCCTCCTCCTCCTCCTCCTCCCCTCCTCCTCCCCTCCTCCTCCTCCTCCCCTCCTCCCTTCCTCCTCCCTTTCCTCCTCCCTCCTCCTCCTCCAACAGCCAAAGCCGTTGACCACAAGTAGACCATATTTGGTAGTGCCACTCCAGCCAGCCAGCCCTCACGACGTCAAGGTTTATGTGTATTTGTGGGCTCTGGGCCTTTGTGTTGTCCCGCTCCTGTCACGGAGGGGGGGGGCGTCCTGTAAACGTTGTTGTTGTTGTTGTGACGTTGATGGTGGTGGTGTTGATGTTTGTTGTTGTTGTTGTTGGTGTTGATGTTGTTGTTGGTGGTGGTGGTGATGCTGTTGATGTTGTTGTTGTTGTTCTTGTTGATGTTTTTGTTGTTCTTGTTGATATTGTTTTTGTTGTTGTTTTTGTTGTTCTTGTTGATATTGTTTTTGTTGTTGTTCTTGTTGATGTGAGGTTGTTGTTGATGATGCTGTGCTGTTGTTTGTTTTGTTGTTGTTGAAGATGATGATGTTGATGCTGTTGCTGTTGTTGTTTTTGTTGATGACGATGTTGTTGTTGTTGCTGGTGGTTGCGTTGTCTGATGTGTGTGTACAGTATCCACGGATGATTACTTTTCCTAAAGACTGCGATATTGTGGGGTGGTTGGGGAGAGGCGCCGTTCTTTAACCTTGCATTTAAAGTTGTTGTTATTGTTTATTTTTTCCTTGATGTGGTGGCGACGAAGACCCAGCTACACAGCCTTCGCAGGCCAGGCAAACTGCTTTTTCTTTTTTTTTCTTCTTTTTTTTTCTTTTTTGTCGCCTTCTGTTGAGTCTGCAATGCCGTGTTTATGGGGACCACTTCGTAATATTTTCCAGCCAAGCCGGGCGATCTACCACGGACCAGGAAGCAGCTTCGCAAGTTTTTATTTCTACGAATACTTGCGTGAGATTATTAGTCATTTCTCTGGAAGTTTCGATGGAGCGTGGGTGAGGTCTGGGCCCCGGGGGAGTAGGAGGCTGTGGGCACGGAGAGGAGTAGGTTGTGGCCTGTGGGTAGCGTGTGGTGAGTGATCGGCGATGAGATGCCCGCCTCATGAGCCCCTCGTTGTTTTCTGTGTGCCCGGGACTCGCCCACGTCTCGCCCTCGTATCTCTCTTTGCGAATCTATGCCGTTTTCTCCGGTTGTAGTTTTCGGTATAAAAGTCCCTTGTTTATCCATGGGATTGGCCTTGACATTACCTGTGGGGTTGATTATCCTTTATGAGTTACCTGGTGCACCCTTACCCGGAGGCACGCGGGTCGCAACTGGCCCCTAAGGAGGCTTTTTTGTCCGTTCTGCGTCGGGGAGGAAAGACTTCGAGCTCGGGATACTGCCAGACGCTCCGTTGCGATGGGGACGCCGTGGTCCTCCTGCCGTTCCCTCGGTAAGTGTCTTGGTGGAGTCCCGCCGTTGAGGGAGGGACGCGGGCCTCCCTTCGTCCAAGAGGCGGAGGCACATCGGCAGGAGCGGCGGAGAGCGGGGCGACGTGGGCATGAGGGTGGCACACACACGTGCGGAGGAGAGGCTTATTAGGGGTGCGAGGGGCGGCGGGCGGGCAGTGTGGTGCTGGTAAGCGACGAGTGTGGTTGTGAGCGCGGCGCGGCGTCGGCGGCGGCGGCAGCGCTGCACCCAGGGCACCCAGGGAGACCCTTCAGCGCTCGCCCTGCGTCTGCCCCGTCTGCCGCTGCCGTCGTCGCTTGTGCTTTCGTGTGTTCGTTGTGGCGTTCATATCGAAGGGAAAATGTTGAGATTTGACAAAGTGGTCCTAAGCGGAGGTTGACCGCCGACTCGTTCCCTGGCGCTCGAAAAAGGTGTCGTGTCGAGATATTGCGTGCAGTGTGCTTGCCCGTGGCACTGGATTCCAGGTGGCGGGGACCAGTGCTTGGTGTTTATTTTTACGGTGTTGAAACGTCTCGAAAAAACCCAACCTCATGGTGGCCACTTCCTGCGACGCCCAGTGACACCTTGTGACTCGGTGCTTCAGAATTGACCCTTCGAATAAACAGAAGAATCACAGAAAAGGAGAGAAAATATGAACCGGATGTGAATGTATCTGATAGCGGGGCGAGGTCGATTCGTATCGGTTATTAAATCATATCGGGGTCTTTAAATTTTCTTTGAAGGGGTTCCATTCACCTCAAGACTTTAAGGTGCGACGCATAGTTGGCCCTTTGAGTGGAGGTTGAGGTTGGAGTGGCAGTCGCTGGCCCTTCACTTAGGACCTGAGTGCCTGTCTGGTGCCATCTCCGTGCCCCGTTGTGAGTCACGCCCCGGCCCTCGGGGGAAGCACTTACGCCGTGACGTCACCGCGAGAGTCTTATCTGTGGAGTGTGTTTTGACGTCACTTTTGTTGTTGTTGTTTTTATACCTTTTTTGTTTTTGTTTATATTGTTTTTTATATTTTGTTTGTTTTATACCTTTTTTTGTTTTGTTATATTTTTGTTTTTTATTATATTTTGTTTTTATACCTTTTTTGTTTTTTGTTATATTTTGTTGTTTTATATATTTTGTTTTTTTGTATGTTTTTGTATACCGTCGAGGCTGAAGGAAATATTCGTTTGTTATTCATTTATTTGTTTACTTATTTATTTAGCGTATTAGTTTTTTTATAGTCAATAAAACTGCTTCTTGGTTTAATAATTCGGACTCCTTGCTTCGAAATTATTTTCACCCCTCGTATACAACCACAGCTGATTAAAACAATGATAAGATTTGTTTTTTTCTTGTAAGTTCTATTAGTTTATCGACAATATTTCATCGTGATTTATGATATTATCCGGACCCCGACCCCAGTGTCTTTTGGCATAGACCGTCGCAGCTGATAAGAATTGATACGATTAGCTTTTTATATCAGTTGTATTTGTCAGAGATACTACTGGTATTACCCAGATTCGTTCCCAAATAAAGTTTTTTTTTCCGGATATTTCAGTTCGTAACATACGATTTAATATTTTTTTATCAGTCGTATTTAGTTTATCGATAATACTGCTTAATTTTTGATACTTTACAGACCCCTTCCTTCCCCCCCCCCCCCAACTTTTTTTTTTTATCTCCCTCGTAAGCTATCGAGTTTGTTTTTTACCATTCGTATTAGTTAAGTGTTTCTATTTTCTGTTTTATGATATTATCCAGACTAAACCCCGCCCCCTCTTTTCCCTAAACCCCGCCCTCTTCTCCCAAACCCGCCCCTCTTCCTCCCCCTCTCCCTCCTTCAAACCCCCGCCCCTCTCCCTCTTCAAACCCCGCCTCTCTCTCCTCCAAACCCCGCCCCCTCTCTCTCCCTCTTCAAACCCCCGCCCCCCTCATCATCCCCAAATGCCGACCTGCAAAAGCATTCACTTTCGGCCTTGCGAAGTCACGCCCGTTTTCTAAGAGGCGCAGGTCGGCTCGGTTTCTGACATGCGAGGGCGGAGGGGGGAGGGGGGGGAAGGGCCTACACCGCCCACCGCCCACCGCACCGCGCCGCCCATCCTAGGGGAGTTGATGGGGGGGGGGGGGAGGTCTCGCGATTCGGAGGGGGCTTGGCAGGGGCGGGGGAGGGGGAGTAGTTGGGGTTGGGAATTGGTCGAATGCGAATTGTTTTGGGGAGTCGTGCGCGTTGTTGTGATTGTCGTAAGGCTAATTTTAATACTTTCCCTGTGTTATAAGTTGTTTGTTTGTAAGTTCTCCCCCCTGCGTATATAAGTTGTTTTAAGTTCTCCCCCTGCGTTATAAGTTTGTTTTTTGGGGTCCCCCGCATGGCAGAATTACGCGAGATGAACAGGAAGTGGGGTTGGAGGCCCTCTCCCCCTACCCCTACCCCCCCCCCCTCGCATGGGCTTGTCTTACCGGTTTGGGCGATGGAGTAAGATTGTCGCGTCGGCCTTGTCACTCGCGGGTCGGCCTCTATCTCTCTCTCTCTCTCTCCTCTCTATCTCTCTCTTCTCTCTATCTATCTCTATCTCTGTCTCCTCTCTATCTCTCTCTTCTCTCTCTCTCTCTCTCTATCTCTCTCTCTCTTCTCTCTCTCTCTATATATCTATTATCTATCTATCTATCTCCCTACTACCTCTCTCTCTCTCTCTCTTCTCTCTCTCTCTCCTCTCTCTCTCCTTCTCTCTCTCATTCTCTCTCCTCTCTCTCTCTCTCTCTCTTCTCTCTCTCTATCTCTCTTCTCTCTTATCTCGCCTCTCTCTCTCTCGCTATCTCTCGCAAGTCTCTCTCTCTCTCTCTCTCTCTCTCTCTCTCTCTCTCTCTCTCTCTCTCTCTCTCTCTCTCTCTCTCTCTCTCTCTCTCTCTCTCTCCTCTCTCTCTCTCCCTCCTCTGCTCCTCTCTCTCCTCTCTCCTCTCTCCTCTCTCTCTCCTCTTTTATCTATCTCGCATCGCCCGCACACTTAGCCCTTCCCGCAAGGGGCGACGGCCGTGACGCTAGGTTGAAAGGTTCTGTTCGAGAGAGAACGCCCGTTCCTGACCTCGTGTCGCCCCAGCTGGAGCAGCTCCTTCCGAGTGAGTCCCGCTTTGAGCACGCCGAGCCTGCGCCGCGCGAGGATGCCCGTGAGCGGCAAGCAGAGCTCCCCTGAGCCCGAGTACCGCCTGGTCCGCCACGCCCGCTTCCGCACCTCGGACTCCACGGTGGGCATGAAGCACGAACCCGTCTCCTCGCAGGACCTGGTCCTCGCCCGGCTCGACGCCCTCTTCACGGACATCAAGGCCAAGCAGGAGGAGGACTACATCAGGAGGCACTCCTACATCGACTCCTCCGGCTGCAGCGAGCACAAGAAGGGCGCGGCGGGCGATCGCCGCGGCAGCATCGGCGACCGCAGGCTGAGCTCCGGCGACCGCAGGGGCAGCCTGGGCGAGCGAGGGGCAGCACCCCGGCGCCGGCGACAGGCGCGCCAGCACCAGCAACCTGGCCGACCGCCGCGCCAGCCTCAACGGCGGGCCCGAGCGGCGCGGGAGCCTCGCCTCCGCGACGGACCGCCGCGGCAGCTACAACAACCTGACGGACCGCCGGAACAGCCTCAACGGCGCCGGCGACCGACGGGGGAGCACAGGCGGCCCGAGCGACCGACGGGGGAGCTCGAGCACCCTGGGCGAGCGCCGAGGCAGCCTCAACGCCTCCGCGCCCGCCACGCGCCGGGGAAGCACCAACGGCTCCGTCGCCAATGGCACCGGCGAGCGGCGCAGCAGTGCCAGCGCTGGCGACAGGCGCGGCAGTCTGAACGGAGGCCTGGGAACCAGGACCTCTCCGAGGAGGGACCTGGGCTCCCCGAGGGCCTCGCCCCGGCGGGAGGTGGGCTCCCCGCGAGCCTCTCCCCGCCGCGCCAGCGACCCTGCCGGCAGCAGCACCGCCCCGTTGAGGCGGCCCTCTGCTGGCACTCCCGCTGCGGCCGACGGGCGGCGCCTCTCAAAGGACGTGAGCGAAAACCCGCGAGGACCCCGTGGTAGCGGTCAAGGCCGGGTCCGCCGCGATTCCCTGGACGTGGAGGCGCTGCTCGGGTCGCGCCGCCTGTCGCTCTACGACACGAGCATCCTGAGGAGGACGAGGAGCCGCCCAACCGTCACCCGCATCACGCCGCCTCAGTTCTCTCCGCCCAGGACTCTCCCCCGCCAGGCCTCTCCCCCCCATCTCTCCTCGCCCCCTCCCATGCCCGCACACTACGCACGTCCCCGGCCCGACTCGTCCCCGCCGCGCCCAGACGCCCCCGCACGCCGGCCTTCTTTCCTTTTTTTTTTCCCCCCCCTCGTCCAGCACAGACAAAACCCTTAACCTCTTCAAGGGGTCACGAGAAATTATCTAACTCTCTTTCCAATACACTCTAATGCAAGAGGTCGCTCCCACTGACAACCCTCAAAATCCAACGAAGCTAGCGCCCACCCCCGGCCGTCGGCCCTCACACCGGCACAGCCGTGCACGCCCGCCTCCGACCGTTTTGCTCTCCGTCGCAATCGCTCACAATAATGCCCCGCGCAGAAAGCCACAGCCCACCCCTCTTCACAGCCCAGCGAGAAGCGCTCGGAACAAGGTAAGTCATGTTCACCCGTCGCGGCCGCCCCTCAGGGATGGGCGCACCCCTCTGCCGCGGCCCCGCCACGACCCTCGGACTGCGGAGCCGCGCGGCGTCTCTCACGCGACCAGAGCTCACGCGCATTCCGCTGATGCTGGAACCTGGAATGCGTTCTCGCTCACTTTCTTCTTCTCTTGGTCTCTCTTGCGTCCTTCGAAGTAAGTTTTTGGATCAACTAGACCTATGACCGAAAGTAAAACACACACGTTCACTCACCACCAAACTCGCCATCCTCTCTCTCTCCTCTCTCTCTCTCTTCCTCTTCTCTGCTCTCTCTCTCGTCTCTCTCTCCTCATCCTCTCTCCTCTCCTCTTCTCTCTCTCTGCTCATCCCTCTCCCAACTCCTCTCTCTCTCTCTCTCTCCTCTCTCTCTCTCTCTCATCCTCTCTCTCCTCCTCTATCTCTCTCTCTCTCTCTCTCTCTCTCTCTCCTTTCTCTCTCTACTCATCTCTCTCTCTCTATCACTCCTCTACTATCACTCACTATCTCTCTTCTCCTCTCTCTCTCTCTCTCTTCTCTCTCTCTCTCTCCTCCTCTCTCTCTCTCTCCCTCTCTCCTCTCTCTCTCTCTCTCTCTCTCTCTCTCTCTCCTCTCCTCTCCTCTCCTCTCTCTCAACGCTCCCCTCTCTATCACGCTCCCTCTCTCATCACTCTCTCTCTCTATCATTCTATCACTCTCTATCACTCTTCACTCTCTCCTACTCTCATCACTCTATCACTCTCTCCCCTCTTCTCTCTATCATCTTTCCCCTCTCCTCTCTCTTCTCTCTTCTCCTCTCTCTCTCTCTCTCTCTTCTCTCTCTCTCTCTCTCTCTCTCTCTCTCTCTCCTCTCCTCCTCCTCTCTCTCTCACTCTCTCTCTCTTCTCCCTCTCCCTTCCCTTCTCCCCTTCTCCCTCTCTCTCCCCTCTCTCCTCTCTCTCCCTTTCCCTCTTCTCCCTCGTTTCTCTATCTCCCTTCTCTCTCTCTCCTTCTCTTCTCTCCCCTTCTCCTCTCTCTCCCCTCTCTCTCTCCCCTTCTCCCTCTCTCCCTCTCCCTCTCTCTCTCTCACACAACACACACACACTCACTCAGACGTGATTATGCTACGTGCGGATAACAAGAGAATGCTAGCGTTGCTCAATGTAGGAAAAACAAACGCAGTCACTCGGAGAGGGGAGAGGCAGCGAGGTGCGTGGTTGGGCAAAGGGCGTTGTCAGGAGTTCAAAACTACTCTCGGTTGTTATGCGTAATTATGCGCTAATCATTCATATATTCTCCCATTTGCTTTGTGTCGTTTCGCGCGGGAAATGCAAATACATCGAGAAGATTGGCAGGGGAAAATCTGCGAGAATGTACAGGTAATTATTCATTACCAGACTCCGGGCGCCCGAGGGGTTCTCCCACTCGGGTCGACGTCTCGCGGACCCAGGGTGCTCTCCCCCCGGCACCTGCTATGCGCCCGCCCCCTGGAACACGGCGTAGGTTGGGGTCTGGAAGTGCGCAGTCTTGGGTTCTATGCCGCCGGCGTCCTCTCCGTTGCCAAGCTGGGGCGTCGTGACTTCCCGTTGATCGGTTCGATAAGCAGGAGGACTGGCGTTCTCCGCGCGGCTTCCTCTTTGCCTGAAAACGGAGTGGATGAACCTGTTTTTGAGGACGTGTTGCCCTCCTTGTTGCTCTGGCGAGGACGGGGCGAGGCTCGGCGGGTGCCTTGGCCTCGTAAGTCAGGAGTAAACGGGCCGCTCGTACGTGTTTCTGTGGCCTCTAATTTCCATATACACGTAGTACAATAGAGCACCTCATTGCGGCCTTGGCCATGGCGAGGCGCTGGTGTACGGACCTTGGCTCCAGGCACACCCCACGACCTCACCTGGCCTCTGCCTGCGCGTCTGCCCTCCCGCTGCACTCGACTGATGGGCGCTCTGTCGTGTCAGGATCTCGAGTCTTGAAGTGGGGGGGGGGGCTTATTTACGGCAGTTCTTGACTTATAACAGAAGTTTGGGTGACTTGCCTATACACATAACACCGCTGCTGAAGTTTGGTCGACTCACGCCCCGCCTAACCATGCTTACTCGCATTTTCCTTTGTCTTGGTTGTTTCATCATGATTTTTATTAGCCCAGAAGAATGACTCAGGGACTCTTATGAATATCCGTCTGTTATCTCATTTCCTTTCGAAGAGAGAGCGAACAGCATTCCGACGCGTCCGGGGCTTCTCTCTCTCTCTCTCTCTCTCTTTCTCTCGCCTGCGCTGACCTTGAGATCGTGCGTGACCTAAATACTGGTCTTGAACCCTATTTCTCAGCGGGCATCTTGGTGTTATCCCTCGTGTGCTTTGTGGCGGTCGACGTTTCGAGCAACTCGTGTGAAGGACCGTGTAGTGTTTGGTCGAAGCCTCGCGGGGCCTCGTTGGATGATGTGTCGACCTGACTTGGTTTTGCTGCAAGTCGTAGGAGAGGTTTCGTCTTAAGGGAGGCTTTTAAGGCGGCTTTTAAGGTAACAAGGAGGAGGAGGAGGAGGACGTCATCCGCTCGTAGATGGTCACGTCCATGGCCTCTTGGTTGAGACACGCCGAAGTGACACAACTCCGTCGATTGAGGTCGCCTCCAACGCCTGGCATTTCCTCCAAGTCCTTTCGCAGACTTTTCTTGTTTATGCTTCTCGTTCGTTTCCATTTTTTTTTTTTTTGTTTTGTTCATGTATTTCTAGACGTCCATTTCGTCACGCTTCCCTGTCGGCCCGAGCTCCTTGATCTCGGCGCCCCGCCCTCGCTGCCCACGCCCGTGCCCCTCGAAACAAGCGCCCTCACACGAGTCGTTCCTCCCGGCGTCACCCACCTGCAGTCTCGATGTTGACAGTTCCCCTTCACACGAAAGCCTCGGGTGACGTCACGCGCTGGATGGGTGACGCGTGTGTTTCGTGAGTACAGCGGCCCGATCGAGTGCAGGGAATGTCGGGGGTGGGGTGAGGGGGGAGGTGCCTTTCTTGTCGCCGGGGGCGCTCCCCCTGTGGGAAAGGGTCGGAAGGCAGGCCGAGTCCCCAGAGGCGCGCCGGCCGGAGTGCGGCGGGGCGGGAAGGTCTAATGGAAGGGCCGGAGCAGGTAGGATATTAGTGCGAGTGAAGCTGTGAGTGAGGAGGTCGGCCCTTATATGGTGTTGACGGCGACGGAGACCCCCCCTCCCCCCTTGCCCCCTGCCCCCTGCCGTCCAGACTTGCCGCCGCCTCCCTCCCACCGCCCACTCCTCGCCGCCGCCCACTCCTCGTCACCGCCTTCTCAGAGGAAGAGAAAAACCGCGGCACAAACAGAAACGTAAACCAAATAATGGACAGAGGGGAGAGAGAAAAGTACGGGGAAAACGGGGAGGAAGAACGACGATGGGGGGGAAGGAATAAAGAAGAGAATGGGGGGAACAGGTAGATGGGTATGGATGAGGGGGGCACGGGACAACGACATTCTTGCCTGTTTATGTAGATGGCAGGTCGGAAACAACGTAAGCTCGGTAAATAACGCGCGCGGCCACACTGCCATGAGTAAGCGCAGGGGTGGTATCGTGTTATTAATTATTATTGTTTTTTGCTGTTTGTTTGTTTTGTTTTGTTTTGAGTCTTGTTGTAAATTTTTGTTGTAGGTTTGGAGACTTGCCGAAGAGAGGTTGTACCAAATGTATAATGGTGTATTTGCACAGATTCTGTTGTCTGAATTGGGAGTTTTCGCTGTTTGGGAAAACTGTCCGTAGAAAACGGAGACTGGGTGTCGCGTTAACTAAAGAAGATTGAAACTTACCTTTTTATCGTTTTCTTTGTGTGTCTTTGATTTCAACTTAATTCGCATGTGATATTTGGTATTGGATCGAAGTAATATCTTTTGAAATTATAGCTGAACATTTTGACTGGAAAGATTGGAAGTAATGCAACCTAATTTATTCAATCCAAAGGCGTTTTTTTTTTTACCACCGCTGATGTATGTATGTACGCACGCGTGGTGATATACGCCGAGCATTCACCTACAACCCTTTTTCTTGCTTCTTCGTTGCGTCTTATTCTTTCCTAGACACAATTGCCTTACGAAGCACAAGTCCAACATGAAAGGGGTAGGGTGGGTGTGAGAGAGGGGGGAGAGGGAAAAGGAGCGGAAGGGAGTTTGAGAGAGGGGGAAAAAGGGATGAGAGGGAAAAGGGAGTGAGTGGGGGAGTTTGATGGGGAAAAGGAGTGAGTGGGGGAGTTTGATAGAGGGAAAAGGGGATGACAGGGAGAGAAGTGGGTGAGAGTAGAGGAAGAAAGAAGAGAGAGAGAGGGCTTGAGATTGAGACTAGCTGTGTGTGAGAGAGGAGGAAGAGAGAAGAGAGAGAGAGAGAGAGAGAGAGAGAAGAGAGAGAGAGAGAGAGAGAGAGAGAGAGAGAGAGAAGAGAGAAGAGAGAGAGAAAGAGAGGGAGAGAGAAGAGAGAGAGAGAAAGAGAAAGGGGGAGAGATAAACCACTTTGTAACTCCTAATTCGAGGGGATGGTGGACCAGAAAATGGACCAGCAAGATACAGTATACGGACAAATAGATGTGGAGATCTACAGAACAAGGAAAAATA